TACATGGACCTCCCTTGATTAGAGAACTAGAAACCACACAGATTTCACCTTCACTCGAAAACCACCAGACTGTGTTCGTGTCAGTTCTGAGCTAAATACAACAATTATACGAAAGCTTGTGAAAAAAGGCGTTTAAACAAATTGATAATATTGATGGTTATTAACCTAAACAGCGCATAGAATGTATCATGCTGTACTAAAATAAAGCTTTATGGTTGTCAAGCACCCTGAGGGAGGTGTCCTAACTACAAAGACCACATCCTTGGAGTTTTCTGGTGAACTTTTCTTTGACAATCCGAAAGAATTATTGATTGATGTTTCAGCTGCTGATGAAAGTCAACCAGTCATGAAAAAGTGAGATATCCTATACACTCAATGACCTGAAGAATGGAGAAGGCTTTTGTTTAGATAATTTATACTCTAAGTACATTAGATCTGGAGGAGACCCAGTCGTCGATGCACTACACCTTTCTACTCTTATTCTAGCAAGAGGTATTTTTCTTTATTCTAGCTATATATATATAAAAGAAAATGGGAATATAAGATATAAAAAATATAAAAATATATATAAAAATATAAATATAAATATAAATAGAATATAAATATAAAATATAAATATAAAAAGAAAAATATAAATATAAAAAGAAAAATATAAAGAAAATATAACGAAAAATATAAATGAAAGAAAAAAAAAACTGTTCAAAGAGCCTGTCATTGGTGTCATCTTCAAGAAGGGCAAATTCGGTTACAACGTTCAATGTCTACTAAGTCACATCCACTAATTCTTTGTTAGTATTGCAACACAAGTTAAAGCAGAGCTGCATGCATCTTTTTTTTTTTTTTTTTTTTTTTTTTTTTTTTGCATCACATGAAGCCTACTAACCTGTAAGAGGAACCATGGGACAAATTTTCGTTCTGGTGCGAATAATCAAAAAGCCAAATGGAGTTTATTAGCATGTGCATGTCATGTTCACTGACTGTACGAATGCTTTCGACTCGGTCCAACTCCCATGGAGACTTCTGGACAAAACTATTCAATAAAATATACATAAACCTTCTGAAACAATTTGATAACTCCAGCGCATCTATCGAAGCAGGCATTGACATTCTTAAAGGAATGAATTGAGGCGGTTTTATCTGCTATCCTCCATCGTCAGCGTATTAGTGTCATGAGCAATTCATGGCACGTATTATAAGTATTTCTGAACCTCCCAGCCAGATGTGTGGGCGAAGTTGTTCTATGGATTAAGGCGTCCAGGGAATGTGGTGGCATCGCGGTCAGATTCATAATCAGATGAAGTTTTGAATCTCTACGGTCACAGCAAGCGCTCCCAGCTCGGGGTGTGAGGAAAATATGTCAGACCTATTGTCTGCCGTCGTAGTGGGCGCAACGAGTCTGTTTTAGAGGCTCTCTAAGGCCGCAAGAGATGGATAACCGGGGCACAGTGCACTGAGGTCAGCACCAAACACAGTAAAAGATAATAGTCGATTTTAACTTCCTTTGATATATGTGCATTGTCGTGACCTTCCACCCGCCAGGAATATCCAGTGAGTGTGCTAACTCATCCGATGTCGCGTTGGCTGCGTGCAACATCTGATTGCGTATGCATGCACGTCCGTGTGAAGGTGTGCGGCTGTGTGTGCACGTGCGAGTAAGGATGTACACACCAGCATAAACAAATAACGTGTATATGCGTTTAGTTAATTTATTTTGATATTTATATGGCGTTATTTATACAGATATTTTTTGTAGCTTCGACACACTTCGTGCGGTCATGTAAACTACAGAGGAAGAACCAGGCTTTGTCCATGCTGACCGCCCCTGCACGGGGTACGGAATGATGTTTGGGACAACAGCTCATTTCTCCAAGGCAGTGTGAAGGTGCTGTCACACTAGCACTATTTCCGTCAATTTTTTTTTACAATTTTCTGAAATTTTGTCCATTTTTGAGCGAATTGTCGATTTTTCAGTCAGACGATAATGATCGTTTCCGTCTGAAAACCTTTCCGTCAACTTCTTCAGCCAAGCATAGTCAAATCAAGAGCTATATTCGAGAATGTTTGTATTTATGTTAAATAAAATTGTCAAAACATTGACGGAAAAAAGTGCTAGTGTGACAGCGCCTTTGTCGACGACTGTGGGCTGAAATCAAAATGAAATTATACCCTGAAGAAAAACGTTTTTCTCAAAACACTATCAAGACAGTTATCTGTTAGTTTCTCTTCGAATTCGTTGTAATAGGCCTCGTCTGTTAGAGATGCAAAAACAATGTGGGTGAAAGGTCAAGCTAATTAATATCTCAAAAATGAGGACGGTTCCTTAATTGTAATACCTCATAAGTAATTACTCAAATGACATTTCAATGGTATGATGGACTTCTGAAATCCCTCACCAGGCACTGATATAAAGCTTCTTTTTCCCTTATATAGATTGAAGCGTTTCAAAGAATCCATATTAACCCTTTTATCAATTTTATCCAGGAACGCTTATGATGGAATGGAACTCCTTATCATATTTAATCGCTTGGGACAGTAATACTCAGTTTAGCATATAAATCATTCAAGGAAATTTTACGTCAAAGATGAATAGTTAACAAGCAAAGGAAGAATAAGTTAATAAGAATAAATAAGAAGAATAAGAATCGCCAAAATCCGATGCTTTTATGTAATGCTGAGAACCTATTATGGGATGTGTTTCGTGCGAGTTGCTTTTAGCTTCTATTTTCATCATGAGTAGAATGTTTCCACGCAAAGGTTAATGTAATTAAATGCTGCACGCACGCACGCAAACACGCACACACAGACACACACACACACACACACACACACACACACACACACACACACACACACACACACACACACACATATATATATATATATATATATTATATACATACATATATATATATATATATATATATATTATATACATACATACATACATATATATATATATATATATATATATATATATATATATATACATATATGTATGTATATATATACAGGGTAGAAAAACCCACAATGCACAAACTAGATTTATTGAGTAAAGTGAGAAAGTGGTCTCACTTTCCTCAATAAATCTAGTTTGTGCATTGTGGGTTTTTCTTCCATAGTATCAACACGGTATTGTGTTTTTCTATTCATATATATACATATACATATATTTTACATATATATATATATATATATATATATATATATATATATATATATATATACACACACACACACACACATACATACATAAATATTATGTATGCATGTATGTATATGTGTGTATATATATATATATATATATATAATATATATATATATATATGTATACATACATACATACATAAATATTATATATGTATATATGTATATATATACATATATATATATATATATATATATATATATTATAATACATACATATATATACACTCACTAGGCATGCTCTGCAGCAGATTGTCTGTAGCTGAGTGTGTATGCATGACATCCTGTCCTCCGGGTCGCATAATAGCAGCTGCCTCTACCTGGAGCGACGGGGTATTGTCTCACCCTCATGGACAGAGAAGTGTCCCCTGCGGCAGAGGCGGCTGTACTGTGGGGTCATGGGGTCGTCTGAGCCATCCAAAGGGGAGGTAGTCCACGGCGCTTCCCTCCGCCTCTGTCTGCAGTTGAAGAAAAGTGTTGACTTTTTCTTCTGGTTGTAACTCTGGTATTTCTTTGTATTCCTCCCTTTTTATCTTATGATTGGTCGAGGATATGTAGGACGTGGTAATTTTGCCTAACTCTTAAATGGAACTCACTATAGTATATTTCCAATATAGGTAATATTGCTCTTATATGGGATTAAAGTTTTTAGCTTCCTTTTTACTAGAGTAAATTTGTGTAGCATATAATGCAAAAGAAAATAATCCCCGTGGGATGATGGTGATATGAACAAGTACCTAGTTCCTGTCTCCGGATGTTGAGGCCGAACATCACATAAATAATCCGTTTAACCTAGTTATCGGTTATCGTCTAAACAACTCGTTTAAAAAAAAGTAAATTGTAATAATGAACACTTGAATATTGAAATTCCCCAAGATAATTTACTGGTTGACTTGAAACATTTAACGTTAATGTGGTACTTTTGGTGCTTCACAGAGATGGCGAAATTTCTCAGATGTTACCCGAGGGACAACCTCAGGTCCTCGAAACAGCCGCCGAAAGACGAGCCAGGCGCCATTCTCACTGGATTGTCTACATCACCACATTCGTCATGTCCATCGGGTTTTCCATCGTGCTAACCGGAGTGTGGCCGTATCTACAACAGGTAAGGAGTGTGGCCGTATCTACAACAGGTAAGCGACCCTCTCCTACTCCTCTTCAACTCTCAACCGGTCTTTATGCACTGTTTTGTTTACGTTTTCGCTTTATGTTTATGTTTGGCGCGTAAGAAATGGTTCTTTTGTTCCTTTAACTCATTTTTTTTCTTTCGTTAGCTGGACACGGGCGTTTCCAAAGAGTTTTTAGGTTGGGTCATTGCAGCAAACCCACTCGGCCAGATGATTGCGTCACCTCTCCTGGGACTCTGGGGCAACAAAGCAGGATCCAACAGGTAAATTAATAAGACCGTATGATGTAGCCACGTCACGTTTGGAGAAATATTCAAAGTAAATTTTGATATTAATTGTAAATGATGTTTATTTTTTTTTACCGAATACCAAATCAAATTAGTTTATTTGTAACGAATACCAAATCAAATTAGTTTATTTGTTACTGATTCGCGGAAGAAAATGACAGTTTTAAAGATCAGTTAAGTACCAATTTGTAACTGTAATAACACCTGGAAAACATTGCTAATACTATAACTTTTGTTTAGTATTTCTCTCCCCTTCCTTTTGATCGAAATACTTTTTAAAAAGTATTTCTCTCTCCTTCCTTCTGTTCGATCTGTTTATATTATTACGTTCTCATCACCTTACAAGTCAGTCATCTGTTTACTCTTACTCCTGCTTCCTCATACTTCATCTTTTATAAGTGCATTTACTCGTATGTGATTTCCAGGGGAGCTTTTCTGGCAACCATCCTGCTCTTCATCGTTGGAAATATCCTTTACGCCGTTCTTAGTGTGTTTGGTTCAGCGGCTCGAGGTATCATGATCTTCTCTCGGTTCCTTGTGGGTGTGAGTTCAGGTATGTTGTCATCTTTCTCTGTATGGCTTATGTGGCGTGAAGGGTTTTATCTTTGCTGTTTTTCCGTTTTTTTTATGCATGATTTTGATTTATTTATTTGTTTGTTTATTATTGTTATTACCATTATTATTGTTATTAATATTATTACTTTTTTGGGGGGGGGGGGTTATCAGTAAAAAAAAAAAATGTGTCTCCTGACTTTGTCACTGTATCTTTTTAAAATTAATTTTCGCAAAAAAATAATGGAATTTCTCTGCCAACAGCGAACATAGCCATCATCAGGTCATACATAGCTTCATCTACAACTTTGAAGGAGAGAACGACAGCTGTTGCACTGACATCAGCTGCACAGGGACTCGGTTTTATCATTGGCCCAGGTGAGAACATTTACCTTTGTTATTTTTTTTAAAGTAATATATACATTTCTTTATAAATTATTATAATTTTGATTGATATATTTGAAGTTAGCTTTACTTTTTCATTGAGGTGTGTGGTAATGAAAAGGTCTTCCACTGTATTTTAGGATTAAGCCCATAGTGTTTAAAACGTTAGGCCACATATAGGTAAAACAATCTACTATGATTACACACACACGCCCACATACACATATATGTGTGTGTGTGTGTGTGTGTGTGTGCGTGTGTGTGTATGTGTGTATGTGTGTATGTGTGTGTGTGTGTGTGTGTGTGTGTGTGTGTGTGTGTGTGTGTGTGTGTGTGTGTGTGTGTGTGTGTGTGTGTGTGTGTGTGTGTGTGTGTGTGTATAAGGCGCGCTGGAGGCCTTAACCGTCCTGCTGCATTTCCCTTGTATGAGAGCGCAGAGTTGATTTCCCGCCCGCCGTGAAGCGCTGAAGGCTGCTCTCCCCCTGCCTTCACCTGAGGCGCCTGAACTCGCACCGAATGGCGGCTCCCTTGCTCTGTGTACGTTTAGTCGTTTAGTGAGAAATTCTGTTTCCCTTTTTCGTCATCCGGTAACTACTGGTAAGCGGAAAGGGCCAGGGGTGGGGGGGTTGGGAGGGTGCTAGAGGTAGGAGGGGAGGGTGTTCTGGGTCAGCCATCAGTCAGGTGCTGATGGATGGCGTCCCTTGATCGCTCGGCCGTAAGTTAAGGCGCCATAAGGAGATACGGCGCCTGAAAACGTTTGAGAATCAGGCCCCATGGACTCTTTCCTCTCTCTCCGCCAGTTCGAAGGAAAGCCTGGAACCCCCTGTTAGTCCCTCACCACGGGCAGACAGAAAGGAAACCATAAAGAGAGGGTCACCGCGTGGGAATGTTTTCTGCTAAAAAGGCATGAATAAAAGATCCAAGCAATCCTATAACAAATGTGATTAATTAAGCCTTTTAAGGAAAACCGGATAGAGTATTATCAGCTCAAGATACGGCTCTGGAGGCAAAATGTAGTGTCTAATGACCAGCTTTTGCGAAGACGGATGGTCTGTGGTCACCGGCTAGAACAGATACACACAGATACACGGGAGGGGAGGGGAGAACAGAGAGGTTTTCTGGCACTGGCAAAGAAAGGAGAGAGAGAGAGAGAGAGACAGAGACAGAGAGAGACAGAGAGAGACAGAGACAGAGACAGAGACAGAGACAGACAGACAGAGAGACAGAGAGATACAGATATACCTGTATATATCATGCGTCAGATGTCATATTGTCACGAACCCTTTAGTAATATAAGCGTTAGAATTGGTGTACAGATCTATGCACTATGTGCATTTACCCTGAGGCGAAGGTGCATAATGCATCTGTGCAGTTATTCTAGATATTCAGTCTCACTTTGTATCTTTAAATTTCTTTGATATGTAACCTCCCGGTAGGAACAGTATACACATTCAATTCCCGATACATTGCATTTAGTCGGTGAAAATAATCAGTTGTACACATATATATCCTACACGTGATAACTACCTCTTAAAAATGAGCATCTGCACGAGGTTCCCTGGCAGACCTCCTAAACATCAAACAGATGTGGAACTGAAAGGGTTGAAGGACGTCCGCCATGGTGATAAAAGAGATAATGTGTTATTTGTCAGGTGGTCATCCATGGTTGTGGTCATCCCTGGAAATGGTCACCATTTCCAGAGAGTAGCCATAGCCATCTTCAGCTGACATCAAACTCCGGTAGGAGAGGTTTCTCCGGTCGATGAGATTATTGCATTGAAACTGAAGCATGCTTTTGGGTTTGTCTGCTATTTCTGCGTACGCTCCTACCGATAAAAAATAGGCGTTCTATACCAAACTCATATCTGGTAGACCTTTGCATTGTAATAGGCGACTTCAATGCGGTATCCGGCTGTGATCGAGCTGGCTACTGACGTCTGTCGGTC